GGGGGGGGGGGGGGGGCCGCCCAACCAATAGCATATGACCCGAAGTTTCAGCAAATTAGCAAATTAGTACTTATAGCCACTTTTAATACCTTCTGGCGAATACTTTTAAAGAGCCCAGTGACTGAGCTTTTTGCGTGGACTGAAAATGATTTCTACAGGATCTGATTCAAGGTACAAGATAGGTACGTATATAGCAATACAAGCATAACATGTACTGAAATGTAGACTTGGTCACTCCTGAGACTGTGCACAGATATAGAAGATACACAGGGTACAAATGTTTAAGTAATAGTATACATTCCTATACAGTTTGCATATATTTTAAGCACAGTATATACCTGTATATTAAAGTACAGTTGTGTTTGTGTACCGAACAATAGTTCTGATGAAACTGTGTGACAGCGAATAGAGATCAAACAAGGAGCTGAGAGGCAGTGCATACTCTATGTCATCTAGCATGTGTACGGATCTCATAAATATCCCCGTCTTGCCGGCTCGTGCCGAGCTCTCAGTGGTGTGAAGGGGGGGGGGGAGGTGAGTCACGGGGACCCCGAACCATTCATTCAAATCGAAACTTTAGCTCAGATGACCATCAAGATTTGAGAATCTTTATTGTCATGTTATCATATAAAGGGAAATGCGCACAAACATTTGTGTTAGAACAAGCGTGCGCTCGTCATTCATACTCCTGTCAATCATACATCCAACATGCAAACAACAAAATGTTTAGAATAAATATGCTATATCAACACCAGTCTGTGTTTCTCTTGAGAGAAATGTGCACAAACATTTGTGTTAGAACAAGGATCTTCCCACCATTTATACTCCTGTCAATCATACACCCAGCATAGAAACAACAAAATGTTTAGAATAAATAAGCAATATATACAATGATCTTTTTACAAATATCTAAATCTATCATTTTCGGGAGGTGCAGTGTCCAAATTATAAACCTGCTTCAGTTACCTCCAGCAACATCTCTCAGGGCTGGTATGTGACTGTTTAGGATAATACTGATTTTGATGAACTTTGGTGAGTCGAAGCAGCCCGGTAAAGAGGTGCTTAGGTAAAGCGTTGGACCACCTTAACTGCTTCCTCGATTCCCCACACGACTGCTCCATTAAAGCGATTAGCTGGATGGGATTAGAGTCCTTCAGCACCTCTTCCACTCCATACTGATGTGACAGAGCATCCGACTTGCAGTTCTTGGAGCCGAGCCTGTAATTAAAAGGTTCTCCTGGATTTTGTGGTCGGTCAGAATTAAAAAGGGATCTGGTGCCTTCTAGCCACGGTCTCCACTCCTCTAAGGCCAGATTTACTGCGAGCAATTACCGATCCGCTATGTCAGAATGTCTCTCAGCCGAAGTGAGTTTTCCAGAGAAAAATGCACAGGGA